AATACTTAGAGATAAATATGACAGAGCATTCAGAATGTGCTCACCGGAATGATACCCCACCCACCCACCCCGGTTTGGGATGTGGGAGATCTAGCTTCGATTCTGACCTTAGCTATGAAACCTCAGTGACCTTTGGCCAGTCACTCTCTCTCAGCCTGACCTACGTCTTCGGGTTGCTGTTAAGACAAAATAGGGAGCCACGTATACTGCCTAGTGATCATTGGAGTAAAGACAGGATACAAATGACACTAGTCATAGGTAAAGTATAACTCCACCAAGCCTTCTTAGATGCAGAGTCAAATATTCCACATGTCTTTCAGTAAACATTTTTAATCTCTAGTACTCAGGGTTACCTAAGGAGGGTGATTAGGAGTAGGTTCAGAGGGCAAACAAAAGGAAGATTTCCCCCCCCCCCTACACATACACACATATTTGTGATTAGTTTCAATGAAAGCAGAATGCTAATCCAGGCTGACATTTTCCAGCTCTGACAAGCCAGTCCTTATGGTTTGTGTGTAGTCTGGATTAGCTAATCCTCAAAGAATGGCCACTTCCTGGTTCTGTGTCTGCAGTTCATAGCAGGGTCTAGGATCCTCACTTGACCTCATAACAAGTATTCCAATAGAGATTGCAAAAGCAGGATCTTTGAAGGAGAACTTAGAGAAGTTCCTCTTTTTTGCTTCCTTTTGGATGGTAACTCCATGGCAGCCTTAAGATGCATTGAGTATGTTCTTTCCCTGAAGTGCGTTTAGTGAACAAGAAAGCAGGTAGTGTAGGCCACCTGGTACCACAGACACTCACACAGGAGTAAACTTGGCCTCTAACCCAATAGAGAGTGCCAAAGCAGGATCTTTGAAGAAGAACACAGAAAAGTTCCTCTTTTCCCTCCTTCCTTTTGGACAGTAACTCTGAGCCAGTGGTCATGCTGCCTCAGAGATTCCCCCTCCCAAAGAGCTCTGGGTTTTGAAGGCAAGAAAGAAGATGGTTTTGAATGCACTCATAGCCAGGAATGATGGCCCATTTCTCATTGAAGTGCTCAATTTAGAATCATAGAGTTGGAAGAGACCTCAAGGGCCATCCAGTCCAAGCCCCTGCCATGCAGGAATACACGATCATAGCACTCTTGACTTGCCTTTGTCTGTGTTAAATCTTCAGGCTGCAGGTGGGAGCTCACATGATAAACAGGAACCCCAAAGCCATAAAATAAATACACATGCCGTACCCATGACGGACTCTTCAAATGACCCTTTGAAGGCTTGGTTTGTGCAGCAGAGAAACGCTGAGTGTTAATACAGAGCAAAACTACACCACAAACATATTTTGGATTTGTACCAGCTTCACCCCCATCACTTCCCACAAGTACTGGGGAATTTAATTTAGTGAGGAGGCCTGGAATTTTCTGTTTGAGGTCCACCTCACCACCATGCACTGGATTTAGTACTCCCTTAGAGAGGAAATAACTATTAAGCCAACTTATGGCTGTGGTATAGATATGTCTAGGGATCATACTTAGGTTGCTTTAACTCTAGACCACACAGCAACATTTTGAGAGCCAGACTGATTGGTGTTGTGGCGAAAGCAGTGCTTGGGAAAGTTACTTTTGGGGACTACAACTCCCAGAACCCACCCCCAACCAGCATAACCTAAAAGAGCAATTTTTTCCAAGTACCACGTACTTTCTCAAGTGGGTTAGAAGCTGTGGTATATTCTATTTCTTCCAGCTATGACCTCTCATGGGTCCTCAGACTTCTCATTTCCAACACCCCAATCTTTCTGGCACTTTGTAGTTTATGGTATATGGTTACTTTGGGCAAGCAAATAATACAAAAATAACAATGATAATAATAGCAAAGAAAAAAAGTCAAATGTATCCCCATCCTTTTGAAAAATCAAACTCCTGACTGAGGATAGCCCATTTCCAAGTCACTCTCAGCCACAGCACTCTGTGAGTGGTCTTCTTCTTCTCCTAGACTACTTCGCTTCCCGCGGGTACTTCCAACCAAAGGACTCCTAGCATTACCAACAAAAAGGCATATGCAGCTGTTCTTTCTTTCCTTAATGGGATTTTTTTGTAAAATGAAAAAAGAGACAGAAGATGCCGTGGGGAAGAGACAGGAAGGCAACAGATGAAAGACACAGTGTCTGGACTACCCCAGTCCCTATAAAATTATGTGAATGAGGCAGAGCAAGTGCGTAATAAAAAGTCTCATCTAGATGCACTAAAGCTGTTGTGAAATTAAAATGCCTCTCCACCCCTTGAAAGGAGAGCAGAATCAAATATTATTATTTTTTAAAAAAATCAGAGTGGTTGGCAAAAATGTCTAGGAGGGAAAGAAATGGCAAGGCTTTACACTGTAATTGCCTCAGTGAGTTTTCAATGCTCATCAGACATCTCATGATGACAGAACGAACACAATTACTTGGTAAGGCCATGCCTCTGCCAAAGCTGAATCCTCCGAGAAGTTCACAAAAAGCCAAGTCCACCATCCTTGCTCTCTTTTCTCATGAGGCCCAGTTGGTGCATTTGTTTATGTATTTCGTTTATGCTACTTAGACTGTGCTCTTCCTTGCTCTGGTTATTTTTTAAAAGCCTTAAATGGTGGCCAACATGGAGTGCCCCAGTTTCCAGTGCTCTCTCTCTTTAGCCCTGCTTAGCTTCAGAAACTGATAGGCTCAGACCATTTGCTTGGCCTAATGGATAGGTCTAGGGTTGTGAGAGTAAAAAAAAAAAAGATAGAGATGTTTGCTGGTTGCATAAAAGAAGGGATTTCTGCAAGTGTTGCTTGTCACCAGTGGTGTTCATAGTGTTGGTGTCACCCGGTCTGTGTCACCCGGTCTGGAGCTGTGGGGTAGTAATGGTGGTGGACATCTGCTCTGCCCTTTGTCAAGACCACCCCCAAGCCATGTGCTTGCATGTGCTCACCCTTGGCACCCTTCCCAATGATTTAGCTGGCTCAGGCAAGCAAGCCAAGGCATTGGGAAAGGTATGTGTGTGGGGGGGGGGGGGGGAGGGAAGAGCACACACTTCTTCTCCAATGCCCTGGCTTGCCTGGGCAGGGGCATTAAGGAAGAAGTGTGTGCTCTCCCTCCTTGCTTGAGCAAGCCAGCCAGGACACTATTGAAGGGGTGCCATGTGCATGTACACTTGCTCCCCCTTCTCTACCGCCTTGTCTCCCTTGATGGAGAGTGCCAAGGCAGTAGAGAAGGGCTGGGTGCTGGTAGCAGCATCATATCCCCCTACAGTTGGAGGAGAGCTCAACCGGGTGTCACCCCTCCTCTCAAGTGTCACCCAGTGTGGTCCGCACCCCTTGTACCCCACTAGTGATGCCACTGCTTATCACACAACCAGTTAAGAAGCAACACTAGCTGAAATGCCTTCATTTACACACCCATTAAAGGTACAGGAAGCTGTCTCCAGTTTTCACTCTGGCAACCCCAGCTAGGGTCCATGTCAAAGGAGAGTGTAAAACTCTTGAGGTATTTTCTCCGCTCATATATATCTCAGATATATACACATATATCTATCTATATATATATATATATCACATATAGCTCAGCTCTCTCTATACTATACCTCTATTTTATCTGTATATTTATTAAGGAGACTTTCTCGTACAAGAACCCTAGGAATGAGAAAAAGTTAATTGCAGCCTTGTTCATGATTTCTAGATTCCAACTGTTGAGATTATCCCAGTTTCCCCCAGTTCCTTCACCATCCATAGAACCTACCCATACCAGTTGCCAGCTCCCCTGACTTCAATCATATACACTGCTTTATTCCACAAATAAATCTTGATTCCAGATAAACAGGCTAGATTTTTTTTAAAAAAGAGTCTTATGGACATCACTAAGGCCCATCCTTCCCGGTGACATCAATGTATCCATAGTAACCCCTGATCACTGTTCTTCAAAGTGGAAGGGCGGAAAGAAACCAAATAATATTTGGCTTAACAATGAATAAGCTTGGCGACACAAACACACTATGAGCTGGTGCCCTGGAGGAAACTGGAAAGTTTGTTTTGTTGTCATTTGCTAGAGAAAAGGCCTTCTGAGGAGAAGCTGAAATAGGTGAGGCCCAGCGGATGCAAGAATATAAAACACACTCATGCAATCATTCACCAGGGCAACTCCATCTCATCATGGATTCCCTTTACACAATCCTAAAATCAACTTTTAATTTTATGATGTCAGTAAAACATTCCCGTTGGGTGGGGGAGTTTCTCATATCATGGGGCCAATCATTAGCAGAGGTACCCATAGAAAAGAGAGATTGAGTGACAGCATGGGTGTCATTAGTAGTGTGCAAGGAATTCGAACCACGTGACATGACACCCTAAGTGGGGTGACACCACTGCTCCCCAAACATCTACCTTTTTGGCAGAAATGGGCTATGGTGTTCTCCTTCATCCCTAGAGATGATGTGAGTGGAGTGAGGATCAGTGGGAGGAGAAAGGAGAAGCCTCAGATTTTTAATTTTTTAAAAATGTTTTTTTAATGTTTATACTTATAAAATGTTATTTAAAAGCATTACATGTTACTAAATTTTCACTTTCACTGCATGAAATTATGTACATGTTAATATGTCTGTGCATATGATAGTCTAATTTAAAATATAATTTTAATTTTGATAGTTGTTTATGCCACAACTAATTGCCATTACATCCAGTGATATATGTGAATTACAAAGTGGAAGGGATCATTCTAGAATCTAGATTATCCCTGGCCAGTTTAGATCTAAAGCATCTCATCTGGATCTTGACTATGGGTGTGTGGAGATCAAAACTGAAAACAACACCTAGGACGTTATCACACGGGGGAAATCTGCTGGTTAATCCACACA